ATCGCACCGGCAAGTCTGGTGCGTGTTGCTATTTATCTTCTGTTTCCATAAGAGGCATTCATGTTGTGTTGCTGAACGTGGCATAGTGCTAAATATCGTGATTCTCAAGCTGAATCTTGAGGATTCCAACCGATCCCACTTTAACAGTCACTCCTTTTATCATTCATTCATTTGCTTTAGACTTAGACTGATACGATGCAAATAGTGAGATCAGGTTCATCATTACTTTACTTCTGACATTCAGTTGTTTGACTTTTTCTTTTTTCTAATATAAATTTTACTTCATAACACCTCCATTCTAAGCAACACTTATCGGGGGAAACCATCAATAGCCTTGCTAGCAGGTGGTTACTGTTAGCAAGTGCTGTCACTTAAATTTGTTTCGAGTGCCTCCTTCTTTAATAGAGGATAAATGGGGAGGCTTTAACTCGTAATGCATGCAGTGGCGCTTAAGCGACAGTCCAAGGGGAGCCTGGAATTTCAGAATTTCATTATTAATTTTGCATAAATTCTAGGTTCGAAAAACTTGAAACACCAAATGAGTGTGCTCAAAAAAGCAGAGGAATATGTTGAATGTGTGGGATTCATCATTACATTCCCACGACCTTCTCAGGCAGAATTAGTCGTGCCTTTACTATACCAGCTTCGGATAATCAGGCTGTTGGCTGTTAGAAGTTTAGAACGGTCTTACGGCTTTTTTCGAGTCGGGCTTGAGATCTTTTTTCCTTCAGAAGCAAAACTTTGCAGGATGTAATCGAGGTGCAAGTGGATGCGATCAGCCAAGGTTCGAAAGTGCTATTAGTGGACGATCTGTTGGCAACGGGCGGAAGTCTGAGGGCAGCCGTTTCACTGATTGAGAAAGCGGGTGGCGATGTTGCAGAAGCATTTACACTGATCGAACTTGCCTATTTGAGTCCGCGGAAGCATATCCCCGAGCATATTCCCATCTATTCGCTGATCACATTAACGGAATGACAGTGCGAAAGGAAATAGCCAGCCGCACTTCTCATGTTGCTGCTGCTCCAGTCTGTGATGTGCGCTGTATTTTCCGTGCAAAACCACCGTCCTCCGACTTTTGAGATGAGTTCCTCCTCTTCCTTCTCCTCCAAAAGATCTCCTTTATAATCCTAAAGTTAGATTCTCACTGAAAGAATATCGTCCCACGATTAACTTCGTTTCTTTTCGCTCTGGAGGGAGGAGGTGTTTTGCTGTTGGCTGTAATTATGTGGAAGAATTGCGTACGGTGCTGCTTTTTCGATGTTTTATTTTTCACTCTTTTGAAATAATTGTCTCTTTTTACTATGTAATAATTGTCCATAAAATACCAAATAATTTAGCTTATTTTTACTTATCGCTAGGCTTTCAGTTGGTATACTGTACATTGTTGGCATCCGCAGGCGAATGCCTCGATTTTAAATCGCTCATAAAGTTCATTGTCAATCAGCTCGAGAAAGTTGCATGGAACTGTGTCATTTGCATAGAAACTTAGCAGGAAGCATGATTTCTCCGCTATGCGTAAACTTCGGGATATCGAATGACTTGGCTTAAGTACCACTGCAAATTAGTTTTTGATGTTTCACTTTAAAGCTGTTTTGGTCAGTACTGCTAAAATTCTCCAGCCCAGGCTATCCCTGCTGTGGTGCGGAAGTGCTAACGTTTGATGAGGCTACGCCACAGCGACAAACAAACTTTAACAGCCCTGGGATATCAAGAAGCACTGTGCCCCATTTTGTCGGGCTAAGCTTGGGTACAAGATGGGGACCAATTTGTCAGCCAAACTGATGTAACGGTGCCATAGGCGCGTCTAGGACCGACTTCTGGGAGGGGAGAGGGGGAGG